CATAAACACAATTACTTTTGTTTTGGCACCCAAGAACTTTTGGTACCGAAAAACTTAGGGACATGACCCCTATCATTAATGCTCAAAGCCCTAGGATAATGATCCTGTTTGGGTGCATGTGGTGCACAAACACGGTCAAAACAAAAATTATATAAATAACATTTTCGATTACAATATGTGCAATGAAAAGGTGTAAATGATTTTTGTTGACCAAGTGGGCGTGCACGGGAATCATTTACAATAAAGAATCGTCTTTTAAATTTATTTTGCAAATGAGAAACATCATCAAACAAATGTGGTCTTATTGGAATATTTTACAAAAAGGAAGATTTTTATAAATCAAAACAAAATTTTATAAGATGTCCAAACCTACCACAAACATCATATTTAAAAATATGTAGTCTACTAAAAACATTTGACAAATGAGATTTCCTTTTCAAATCAAGACAATATTTGGCCAAATAACCAAAACGACCACAAAGATCATATTGATACACATGAGCATGCTTATGATGTACTTTTTGTGCATATGTGTGTACATGTGATGAAGAAACTTGATGAGATACAGAATTGACATTAGTATTCTTATGTTTGTGTGCATCATAGCAAGATTTAGATAAATGGCCTTTTCAGCCGTAAATAGAGCATTTGTAAACTTTGCTATATATGTGTGCATGGTGTATGAGATGTTTAGTAGTAGCATGAGTTTTAGCACACATATTCATAAGCTTCTTACTATTATCCATGCATGTTTTTCAGGTTGAATCTAAACAAGATATGCAGTTCTTAACATGATTCAACTCATCATTATTGGGCACATATGTATTAACACTAGAAGTAGAAAGAGCATGATTATTTTTGAATGAATTAAATTCATTTCTAATTATTTCTACCTCTAGCATGTCATCAATCTTAGCATGAGATAAGCTAGCAATGGATGATGTTAATTTTTTATTTTCTAATTTTAACATATCATTATTTTCTTTAAGCATCATATTTTCTTTTTAATGATATCAAAATTAGAGGCTAGCTTTTCATGATCGGATTTTAAATTTACATGCTTGCTTTTTAAAATTATAAAGCTATGGTGCAATTTGTTATAGGCATGTAATAATTTTTCAGAAGCACAAGCGAGTTCATCAAAAGATAAAGGGAAAATTGCTTCCAGCCCCCAAAACAACACAGAACGTGCTCTGCCCCCCCAAGACTTTTTCAACGTGCCTTTTACCCCCAAAAACGCCCCCGATTTTCTTCCAGCCCCCAAAACGAATCCACAGGCCACACTTCCGTTTAACAGCGCTCGAAATGCCCAAATACCCTTCCCAGCATGTGTTCGTCGCCCTCTCACGACGGAAACCCATCGTTTCGACTTAGCATTAAATGGTGATATGAATGACTTTTTTTGGGGGGAAATTCCATTTCCCTCCAAAAATTATCATCAGATATTATCACCAGCTATATCCCCCTTCAGCATAAGTTGTTCCTTCCACTTAAATTATCCCTCAATAAAAGCCTCTTCATTCTTCAACCACTCCCTGTAATAAAATGGCGGATGGATTCTCTTCTATACGTCGGATAACGAAGGCAAAAAGCCAACCAAACGGTGGTGGACGTTTAATTCTCGTTAATCAAAAGAATACCAGAAATAATCAGCTTGAAATATCGGAAGTGGGCCGGAAGTGCTTTAAATACCAAATGCCAATCATCTATTCACTGAAGTTCATATGCCGAAAGCGGGAAAAGAAAATTCAGCATTTCAATTGACAAATGACGACGACTTAAAGTTTGATGGTTCGAAGTAATTGTCGGCCGTAATGGATTTACAGACAGCGAATTGTATGCACTCTCCGCTGCGGAAATTCCTCAACTTCGCAGAACACGACAGACATAACGCCTGGAAACTGACGTAGGAATTACACTGCCAGAATTTTCGCTTTGAGTTCACTGATAAGTTTTGCCATTAGTGTTAACCTCATGCATTGGTTGCTTTGGTAATGTAGTTACTGTCAAGGTTATGTTAAGCACTAGCGTGCTTGTAAAAGTTATTTAGTTGGCTGTTACGATATACTATTGGTTGCTAAGTTACGTGTTTGATGTTAAGTATATGCGTTGTGTTGTTAACCGGGTCACGAGCTTGCCCTTAAGTATAAGGAGGTTAGTCGTTAAGGATATTGTGTAGCGTTGTTACGTTTCATTGAAGATTCGTTGTTAAGGTTCAATGCAGGTTCTTGCTAAGGCTGATGTATTTTGATTTTTATACTTCACGGACAATACCACAAGAAAATCGCGGTGCGCAAGATACCCCCGTTCACCAAACCTGTAATGCAATGAGCCGATAAATTCCTAATGACAACCCCAACGGCGCACTCGCATCATGCTGCTGGAGACAATGCTTAATCACACAAACAAAGATGCCCAACTGTATGGCACACCATCCATATGCTGAAGTTGGTCAGAAATTTGATTAGCTTGCTGCTGAATTAGATTACGCACATTCAATACTCATTCAATCTGCTAAACATGAGTATCGAGCTTATCATTTTACCAACAATGAACAAAGACGCATACAGAGTCTATTGCCGATATCAAACACACACATGGTTAGCACCTGGGATGTTGTGCCTTTCCCGCTCAGAAATTCGTCTATTCATGTCCATGAAAGAATTCGAGTCTACCCACACCTGCGGGTCAACATGGAGCAAATGCTGGCACTCAAGGGCATCAAGGAAAGTTTCATTGCTAGCCAACAATAACAAGCATGTTTTGGAAGGATTAGCAAGATCTATCTTGCGTCGATAATCAAGCAACGACATAGCCTCAGCTTAATTTTGGCATTCACAGATAAACTACATAAAAGCGTGGTCGGAAGCCCAGGGAGCGGCGCAACAGACCTGATCTCTCTCTTT